ATATAGAGCAGTGAATGTGGCTCAGTAACAAAGGCTGGCTACCAAAAAAAAAGACATAAATATTGTCCATTGGCCTCTCCTCCATCTCTCCAAATACTAAGCCATGTACTTGCCTGGTTGGTCTCTGGCCATCTCAATCTGTCTCCTCTGACCACAGTGCTCACCTGTGGCAAAGCCAACCTGCAGAAGAAGAAATAATTACTAGGAACTTGGGAATCTAGGAAACTTCCAAAGAAAGCCATTGCCTTGGAGCTCCAAATTGACCCTAACATACTTCCCTTCCCAGTACAAGGTTGAGACTCTGAAACCCACATTTCTACTTTGCCCTGGTATGCCCAGCAAGACTAGAGGAAGGACCTTCCCACTCTAGTAGTCATCATCCTAGCAACAGTTCTGTAGCAGCCCCTGAAATAGTTATATCAACATCTGCAAGAGCCAGCATCACTTGGCCTTCTCTTGTAGGACCCAGGACTTCTGCAAACTCAGAGACCTTAGCACCAAGAAAGAGCAGTGTCCCATCCCCAAATGCTGGAATTTTAGCTCTACAAAGCCTCTCCTGTTAAGTGTATATATTTTGAATTATTCCAATTTCATCCCTTTGTTCCTCCAGCCAGTGTTGATGGCTGTTTCCAGCTACCTCCATGTACAGTTGTTACTTTTTATTTACTTAACTTTTTATCTAGTTAATAACTCCTTTAATAAATTCTCTACCAGAATCACAAAGGTATACAATGCCTAAGCACCTCTTCATATTTATATAACATAATATACATACTGAAATGAATTCTAAAGATATAGAAAGCAAAAGACTTTGTTTTTTGTCTTTTTCTGATGATTCTGTATTTTTTACCTTATGTATGGTGTATTCATGTACATATTCTGCAGGATGGTGGGAGGAGGGCACATAATCTGAGGAAAAAGTGTGAAAAAGTGCAGCAGTGGAACGCCCTGGACATTGATAAAAGTGAACTATACAACTTGTAGGTGGAGATGGAAGGGAGGGAATGGGGCAGAATGAGGGAACAGATGACACTGTACAAAAGGAAATGCACTCATTACCTGACACATGTAAAGGTAACCCGTCAGTATATCACTTCTATGATAAAAACAAATTCTAAAAATAAAAAATAATATTATATTAATAATAATAAATTCTCAGCTGGGCACTGGTGGCTCATGTCTGTAATCTTAGTTACTTAGGAGACAGATCTGAGGACTGCAGTGCAAAGCCAGTTCAGGCAGAAAGGGCATGTGAAACTCTTCTCCAATTAACCTGCAGAAATCTGGAATATGGAGGTGTAATTCAACTGGTAGAGCACCAGCCTTCAGTGAAAAAAGCTAGGGGACAGCTACCAGACCCCAACTTCAAGCCTTAATACCAGCACATACACACACACACACACACACGCACACACACACACACAATGCAACTTGTGGAGTGGTGGGAACTGGGGAAAATCAAGAACATTGTCTGAAAGAAATGTATCAATTACCTGAATTGTGAAATGTAAACCCTCTGCATACCTTAATAAAATTATATTTTTTAAATGTCTACAACCTGTATATTTAAACCTGATTTTAATGTTTGCTCTGCCATTCATTCGAGTGTGACAAATTCAGGCAATTGTGGATGACTGTTTTAACCTTAAAGGGGCTTATGAAGGCCCAACATTATGGAAAATACCTAGCAAGATTCCAAAGTGTAACTATTTAAATTTCCCTTTTGACTGTGGTGTATAGCTCAGTGGTAGAGTTCTTGATGAACATATGCAAACCCCTTCCCAGCACCACAAATTCTTCTTTGATTCTATATTGGCATTTGCCCCCAGTGAACATTATCTAGTCATACTTGGGTTTAATGATTCAATTCTACCTTCCTTGGTGACAACCATCGGCTACATATGGCTGCCCAACAAAGGGTTGTATGGCTCACCTAAGCCTCCAAACCATCTCCCAACCTATGTTGCCCAGCCTTCAAACTGGCAAACATTAGCCCACTCCAAACCTCCAACAGCCCTCGGGGGCCATAGTACAAGTTCAAGCGTGGCGCTCACACTCCTCAGCCATCTACCTGCTGAGCATACTTCTCCACTTGTTAGGGGCCCAAACCCCAAGGCCATTTGCGCAGCACTTTACCATTCCACACCTTCACAGGGACTGCTTCAGAGGGAAAGTGCACATCTTTAAATGAGTCTCAGCAACCCAGAGATCGACACTGCAAGTCTGTGCTACATTTTTCCTATCTTCGGGTTACCATCATTTAGCGCTTAAGCGAGCATTCACCTGACCCAGTGGCATGGGGTAAAACAACCCTCCAACCAGGGGCATTCCTATGATCAACAAGCTAGTTCCTGGCACAAGCAGTGATGGTCATCAATAATGATCCGGGAAAACCAGGCACACCTGCGCGTGCTTGAACTCTGTGGAAACCCTATGTGACTCTATGGGTCTCATTACACAGGAAGCTGCGTGTGACACATGGCGCTTGGGGTGAGATGCGTTTCCACCTGGTCCTGGCCAGAGATACTCAGGTGAAGCCCCACTCCTCACCTGGCTCAGGCCTCCAGCAGCTGGCCTCCGCTCTCGGCCATCCACAGCACCTTCCATTTTCCAAGCACACAGAGGTGCTCCCGAGGGCTTCCACGCTTCCGTTATGCGTTGGAGCATGCGCCCAGTACGCCGTTGTGCGTCCCGGGCACTGTTACCCGAGCCCCACCAGAGCGAGAGCCCCACGATCCTGCGCACAGTACCCTACACTGCTCTACAAACCTGGCAGCCTGTGCCTGGCCTCCCCCCGCCCCCCACCCCGGGCCTGGACTCCACCCTGGACACTACTGGGCCACAATGCGCAAGTGGAATGGTGGCTTGATTCCATCCAAGCCGCTCCTGGCCGAGGCAGTAGGGCAAGGGTCCTGAAAATGTGAGAGCAGGGCAGCATGGGAGAGACAAGCACTGGCGCCACTAAGCCAAGCACTCCTCGCCACCTACTCCGTGCTGGATCAGAAACAATCTGGGAGCTTCTGGTGGTTAATTGGAGGGAGAGGTCTCAGGGCTGGACGCCGGTGGCTCACACTGTAATCCTAGCTACTCAGGAGGCTGAGATCTGAAGATCACGGCTCAAAGCCAGTACGGGCCCGAAACTCTAAGATTCCTATCTCCAATAAACCAATAGAAAACCAGAAGTGGCACTGTGGCTCAAGTGGTAGGACACTAGCCTTGAGTTGAAGAGTTCAGTAACAGCACCCAGGTCGAGAAGCCCCATGACCCACAAAAACAAAAACAAAAGTCTCAGGACCTTCCTGCCCGGGCTGATCTGAACCACGATCCTCAGATCTTAGCCTCCTGAGTAGCTAGGATTGTAGGTGTGAGCCACCAGAGCCTAGCTTAAAACTTTTTTCTTTTTTCCAATCCTGGGGCTTGAACTCAGGGACTGGGCACTGTCCCTGAGGTTCTTTTGATCACTTCCAGTATTTACTGAGTAGTAGATAAGCATCTCATGGACTTTCCTGCCCAGGCTGGCCTTGAACCGAAATCCTCAGATCCCAGCTTCCTGAGTAGCTAGGATTACAAGTGTGAGCCACCAGCACCCTGCTCAAAACATTTTTTTTAAGTCAGCAGAAATCACACATTGATAAAATTCCTCTGGTCACCAAAACATCTCAAAAGTTCAGGAGCGAAAATAAACTTATTTGCAACAATGAAAAACAATATTAATAGTCAATATATTTTAAAAGCAAATTAAGAAAAAGTTTAAGTCTAAAAATATGAAAACCAAAACATTATTAACACAGAGAAATGCATATTAAAATAAGGGTATATCACTTTTCATCTATGAAAATTATAAAGATGAAAAACATAAGATCTGCCAAGCGCTGGTGGCTCACACCTGTAATCCTAACTACTCAGGAGGCTGAGATCTGAGATCTGCAAATTTTGGTTCAAAACCAGCCCAGGCAGGAAAATCCATGAGACTCTTATCTCCAAAAAGCTGAATGTGATATAGCCATAGGTGTGAGCAAAAAAGAACACAGGGACAGTGCCCAGGCCCTGAGTTCAAGCCACAGGACCAACACACACAGACACAAGTGTTGCCATTTTCATACAGGGAGGAGCAAATTGGCAATGCCTACTAATACTCTCAATGTTATATCTTCTGGTCCATTAATTCCACATCAAATGTCAGTCCTGCCGGACGCTGGTGGCTCACGCCTGTAATCCTAGCTACTCAGGAGGCTGAGATCTGAGAATCGCGGTTCAAAGCCAGCCCGGGCAGGAGAGACCGTAAGACTCCTATCTCCAATAAACCACCAGAAAACCGGAAGTGACGCTGTAGCTCAAGTGATAGAGCGCTCGCCTTGAGCTGAAGAGCTGAGGGACAGCACCCAGGCCCAGAGTTCAAGCCCCACGACCGACAAAAAAAAATGTCAGTCCTCTAAGGAAATAACCATGAATGTGGCCACAGACAAACAAGAATCTTTTTTTTTTTTGGGGGTGGGGGGGCGGAGGGTAATGAGGCTTGAATTCTGGGTTTGAGCACTGTCCCTCAGCTCTTCAGCTATCGCACTACCACTTGAGCCACAGTGCCACTTCTGGTTTTCTGGTAGTTATTGGAGATAAGTTTCATGGCCTTTCCTTCCACAGGCTGGCTTTGAACCAAGATCCTCAGGTCTCAGCCTCTTGTGTAGCTAGGATTACAGGCATGAGCCACCAGCACTTGGCTACTAGAATCTTTATCAGTAGATAAGGTAGGTGTGTGTGTGTGTGTGTGTGTGTGTGTGTGTGTGTGTGGCACTTGGCTACTAGAATCTTTATCAGTAGATAAGGTAGAGGTGTGTGTGTGTGTGTGTGTGTGTGTGTGTGTGTGTGTGTGTGTGTGTGTGTGTGTGTGTGTGTGTGTGTGTGTGTGTGTGTGTGTACTTAACCTGGGACTATAAATGAAACTAGAAACTAGCTGTATGGTTGGAAAATTACAGAAGGTCTGGACTAAACAGCTAGAGCCATTCAGTAAGCAGTTCTCTTTTTCTGAAAGATTAACACACTAACACAAAATTAAAACATGTCTCCAAATAAATCAGCCATATTGTCAGCCATCTCTGAAAAAGTTGCATATTGACTCAGAAATCTTCCCAAAGGGTTTGCAGTACAACTTCTCAAAGTTGGCCATGTTCTTCTCTTCCCTAGTGGCCAGCCTGGTACATGGCATGTTTAGCTACAAACATCTCTGCTGATTGTCCCTGCAACATTTTCATGGCTCGCCAATAGATCTGTCCACAGTTCTCAGCTCTACCAAGGGGGTGGTTCAATTCTTCTCTGATGTAATCCATCCAAAGATCTTTAAAAAGAACCAAAAAAAAATTAAACAGTTGGATTTCTGACAAGGCTTAAAAACAAATATTTAATATTAAGATTTCTAATAAACTTGACTTCAGGTTATTTCCCAAGTATCCTATGGAAAACAATTCACCTCCTAGCTTCTTCACACAAAGGGAGAGGAAAAAGGTTTATTTTTCCTGTTATAGGAAACTTTCACAGTAATCATGACAATCTATGTTATTTAGTGAAATGAAAAAAACTAGGGGCTGGGAAGTGGCTCAGTGGTAGAGCGCTTGCCTTGCATGCATGAGACCCTGGGTTCGATTCCTCAGCACCACATAAGCAAAAAGAAAAAAGCCGGAAGTGGCGCTGTGGCTCAAGTGGTAGAGCGCTAGCCTTGAGCTGAAGAGCTGAGGGACAGCGCCCAAACAGAGTTCAGGCCCCACGAACGGACCCCCCCCCCCAAAAAAAAAAAATCAAGGCCCTGAGTTCACAAAGAGTCACACCAAGCAGATCTTTTCCCTAAGCCTGCATTCTTAAAGAAGAACCACAACCACAGATCCCCTGGCTTGTGAAACCAAAAATTTTAAGTAAAAATTATGGATGACAGCTGGGGCATTACTAAAGTGGTACAGCATGTCAATCCCCATTCTCCCCACTACATGCATGCAATATATGTGTAATTATGCACAAAGGAAGGGAAGGAGGCAGGGGAAAGATTAAATTTTATTTATCTGTAAGAGAGCCATGGTGCAAAAAAAAAAGAGAAAGAAAGAAAGAAAGAAAGAAGGAAGGAAGGAAAGAAAGAAAAGAAAGAAAGAAAAAAAGAAAAAAAGAAAGAAAAGAAAGAAGGGAGGGAGGGAGGGAGGGAGGGAGGGAGGAAGGAAGGAAGGAGGAAGGAAGAAAGAAAGACTGTTCTAACCATGCTAACAGGTCACAGACTGCACAAATCAATGCTAGTGTGTCTGTAATTGAAGCTTACTTACCAGAATCTGTAGATCCAAACTCTCTTAAAGCCCTCTCATAATAATCTCTTAAATTCACCATCTTGCAGGATTCCTACCAAAAAAAAAAAAAAAAATCAGATGATCTTGTCTTAAATCCCTGTTTTAGAAAGTTAGGTATTTAAAGTAGGAGGAGGGTCAGGATTTAAAATAAACCAGCCTATTTCTCTGCCAGACAAAAAAAAAAAAAAAAAGCTCATCAGAATAAAGAAATATCAACCAGGAAAGTACTTTTTTCTGGTTATACGAAAAAAAGCCCATAGATTTTTCAGTGGGGAACTAAGTGGCCTCACAGAAAACAGTATTTGAAAGCCTTATAGGATAAGTAAGATTTAAATCAAGAAATACATACAGAAGGGTCTACCCACATGGCCAAGGATTTCTTCTTTTTGAGAATCTGGACTCTGACATATACCAGTTATATTTACCTTAAAACTTAGGGTAAACACTAGTCTAAACACTAGCATACCACCTTCAAGTTTCTTTAAACTCTCTGACTTAACTTAAACATTCTCTTACCTGAAAACAAGAGTATTAATACCTATTAGGAGTATTAATACCTATTATAGGTAATAAAGAGCTTACCAGCTGGGAATGTGGCTTAGTGGTAGAGTACTTGTGTAGTATACATGAAACCCTGGGTTTCATTCCTAAGTACCACATAAAAAGAAAAAGCCGGAAGTGGCACTGTGGCTCAAGTGCTAAGAATACTAGCCTTGAGCAAAATGAAGCTCAGGGACAGTGCCAAGCCCCAGGACTAGCAAAAAATTAAATAAATAAATAAATAAAGTGCTGACCAATTATGTACTTAACAAAATGGCTTTCTCTATTTTAACAGGAAATAACTACTAAGTTTTAAATGTCTTCTCTTTTGTTCCATTTGCCAAGTGGAGTAACATCTTCAGTCTAAAAATTATTTCATAGAATAAAATACTTCCTGCTGGGTGTCAGCGGCTTATACCTGTAATCCTAGTGCCTACAGAGTCTGAGATTGAGAATATTGCTGAAGTGGTAGAGGGCTAGCCTTAGGCAAAAAAGCTCAAGACAGTGTCCAGGCCAAGTTCAAGCCCCAGGATGAGAACAAAGAAAAAATAGAGATCTAAGGATCATGGTTTAAAGTCAGCCCAGGACAAAAAGTCATTGAGATGCTTATCTCCAATTAACCTCCAGACAAAAACAGAAGCTGAGCTGTGGCGCTAGTAGCAGAATGCTAACCTTGAGCAAAAGAGCTCAGAGACAATGCCCAGACCAAATTCAAGGACCAGCTTTTACAAAAACAAACAAAAACATTAATTGAGTGCCTATTCTCTACTTCACTAGCTAAGGCAAGAGACAAACTGGGTCCTGTGGAGAGAGGCAAGGCAATAGCAGCTCATACAGCCCAACCTCAGAAGGAAGCTTGCTGTCTAAGGGGCCACTAGAGTTTTCTGCTCTCCAGAAAAGCACTTTCTCCTTTTTTACTTCATTACCTTTCCTAAGCCAGTTTTATGGAAAAAGGGTTGGGTCAAGGGATCCAAATTTTTTTTTTTTTTTTTTGGTCCGGTCGTGGGGCCTGAACTGTTTGGGCGCTGTCCCTCAGCCCTTCAGCTCAAGGCTAGTGCTCTACCTACCACTTGAGCCACAGCACCACTTCCAGCTTTTTTCTTTTTGCTTATGTGGTGCTGAGGAATCGAATCCAGGGCCTCATGCATGCAAGGCAAGCACTCTACCACTGAGCCACCTTCCCAGCCCCAAGGGATCCAAATTTTGTAAGTTTTTGTTTGTTTTTTTGTCAGTCATAGGGCTTGAACTCTGGGCCTGGACACTGTCCCTCAGTTCTTCAGCTCAAGGTAAATATTCTACCACTTGAGCCACAGCACCACTTCTGTTCTTCTGGTGGTTACTTGGAGGGAAGAGTCTCACAGACTTTCCTGCCCAGGCTGGCTTTAAACTGCAATCCTCAGATCTCAGCCTCCAGAGTAGCTAGGATTATAGGCATAAACTACCGATGCCCAGCTATACTATGAATTTTTAAAATACCAGATAAGTAACCACAAACCCATTTTCTCAGATAAGAAAGGCTTAGAAGAATACTTACTTGCTCCTTTTCAAACTGCATCATTTTTCTAAAAAAGTCGACTGAAAATGGACGGCTTTCCTGTAAGCTAAAAAGGGGTGGGAAAAATGTTATCTTCCACAGTAACAGAAAACCGAGGCACCTTCACACAGGTAGTTTAATGAAGACCTGAATGGCCTTAGGACTGGACCAGACTCACATGACTGAGGGAACATGCTACGCCTCTAGCGATTTGCCCTTTGCCATCACCACTTCTTCTCTGCTCTTCTTGCTCATGTTTAAGCCTTAAGTTCTCACAACTCTATCTCCACATCTTTTGAAGGCCAAGAATTCTATTTCTAAGAATATGTTCCAAGGATGTAAGTTCTAATATGGACAAATACTTCCAGAGAAATGTTCCTCAAAGCTTTTTATTATTGGGGGTGGTGGGGAGACAGGAAGGAGATAGTGGAGCTTGCACTCAGGATCTTGTGTCTGCAAGACCACACTCCAGTCCTTTATGCTTTTGGGTTGTTTCAGATAGTCTCACTTTTTGCTCAGAGCTGGACTCAGACTGTAATTCTTCCAATTTTTGTCTGTCAAAAGCACAAGGATGACCTACACTGTACTACTATACCACAGGTATCTTAGTAAATTATGAAGAATGTTTATATAAGAAAGGCCAGTTCACTAGGAACCAGTGGCTCACTTGTAATCCTAGCTACTCAGAAGGCTGAGATCTGAGGATGAGGCTCAAAGCTAGTCCAGGAAGGAAAAATCCATGTGACTCTTATCTCCAATAAATCACTCAGAAAACCAGAAGTGGCGCTGTGGCTCAGGTGGTAGAGTGTTTGCCCTGAGCTGAAGAGCTGGGGACAGTGCCCAGGCCCAGAGTTCAAGCTCCAAAGCGTGTGTGTGCATGTGTGTGTGTGGGGGGGGGGGGGGGGGGGGAGGCTGGGCACCAGTGGCTCATAACTGTAATCCTAGCTACTCAACAGGCTGAAATCTGAGGATAGCACTTCAAAGCTAGCCCGGGCAAAAAAAAAAGTCCATAAGATTCATCTCCAGTTAAGCATCAAAAAAGCTGAAACTGGGGCTGGGAAGGTGGCTCAGTGGTAGAGCACTTGCCTTGCATGCTCGAGTCCCTGCGTTCGATTCCTCAGCACCACATAAGCAGAAAAAAAAAAGCCGGAAGTGGCGCTGTGGCTCAAGTGGTAGAGCACTAGCCTTGAGCTGAAGAGCTGAGGGACAGCGCCCAGGACCAGAGTTCAGGCCCCACAACCGGACCCAAAAAAAAAAAAAAAAAGCTGAAACTAGGGGCTGGGAATGTGGCTTAGTGGTAGAGTGCTTGGCTAGCACCCATAAAGCCCTGGGCTCAGGGCTGGGAAGGTGGGTCAGTGGTATAGTGCTTGCCTCGCATGCATGAGGCCCTGAGTTCGATTCCTCAACACCACATAAGCAGAAAAGGCTGGAAGTGGCACTGTGGCTCAAGTGGTAGAGCACTAGCCTTGAGCTGAAGGACAGCGCCCAGGCCCATAGTTCAGGCCCCACAACCAACCAAAAAAAAAAAAGCCCTGGGCTCAATTCCACAGTACCACATAAACAGAAAAAAACAGAAGTGGCACTATGGCTCAATTGGTAGAGTGCTAGCCTTGAGCAAAAGAAGTACAGAGACAGTGCCCAGGGTCTTGAGTTCAAGCCCAAGGACTTCCCACCCACGTCACCCCCCCGAAAAAAAAACTGGGAAGGTGGCTTAGTGGTAGAGAGCTTGCCTAGCATGCATGAAGCTCTGGGTTCTATTCCTCAGTACCACATAAACAGAAAAAGCCAGAAGTGGTCCTGTGGCTCAAGTGGTAGAGTGTTAGCCTTAAACAAAAAGAAGTTCAAGGACAGTGCCTAAACCCCTGAGTTCTAGCCCTAGGACTGGCAAAAAAAAAAAAAAAAAAAAAAGCTGAAATTTGCCAACACTGGTGGCACATGCCTGTACTCCTAGCTACTCAGAAAACTGAGATCTGAGTATTGAGGTTCAAAGCCAACTCAGGCAGGAAAGTCTGTGAGACTCTTTTCTCAACCATTAGAAAACTGGAAGTGGAGCTATGGCTCCATGCAGCGCTAGCCTTGAGCAGAAAAGCTCAGAGACAATATACACACCCTGAGTTCAAGCCCCACAACTAAAATAAAAAGCTGAAAGTTACATATGGCTCAAGTAATAGAGCCGAAAGTTACATATGGCTCAAGTAAAGCTCAAGGACAGCACCCAGGCTTTGAGTTCAAGCCCCAGAACGAACACACACAAACACACACACACACACACACAAACACACACACACACACTTCCTCAGACACCACTATGATATATCTAACCCAGGTATGAAGGGCTGAGTAGAGGCATAAAGACTAGACACAGCTACAAATGCCTGTGTGTACCTTTTAAACACAGCTCGGGCTTTTTTGTAGCCACCACTTCGGTATGCCCAATCCAGGTATCTGTCCTTCAGTGTTACTGAGCTGGCACCTGTGACAGCTACAAGAGCTTTCTATAGTTTAAAAGAAAAAAAAAAAACAAAGGGAAAAAGGTATGTAAGGGTATTTATAGATATCAGAAGCAGGGGTCTGGGAAGGTGGCTCAGTGGTAGAGCGCTTGCCTTGCATGCCTGAGGCCCTGGGTTCAATTCCTCAGCCCCACATAAGCAAAAAGAAAAAAGCTGGAAGTGGTGCTGTGGCTCAAGTGGTAGAGCGCTAGCCTTGAGCTGAAGAGCTGAGGGACAGCGCCCAGGCCCAGAGTTCAGGCCCCACGACCGGATGAAAAAAAAAAAAAAAAAGAAGCATCTGAGCTATTCAATAGTGCTTTAGGAATGCCCACTGATGAAATAAATACCCCTTCCCCACTCTGCAAGGAACAATCTTACCTTAAATATTGCTTCCGTGTCTTCACTTTTGGAACCTTCACTCCACTCTGCCCATAAAATCCACAAGGGGAGACAAACCTGCTCACATTAACAGACTGTTAGAAAAATAACTGCTCAATCACAAGTCAGGATACAGTAAAAACATTTGCACAACCATGTTCAATGCTGCACTACTCACAATAGATGTAAACAGCCTAGATGCCCAACAATGGATGAGTAGATTTTAAAAAAATGTGGTACATGAGCTGGGCATTGATGGCTCAATACCTGTAATCTTAGCTACTCAGGAGCTGCTGAGATCTGAGGATTGCAGTTCAAAGCCAACACCAGCAGAAAAGTCCTGATAAGACTCATTGGCAATTAACCACCAGAAAATCAGAAGTGGAACTGTGGCTCAAAGTGGTAGAGTGTTAGCCTTAAGCACAAAGGCTCAGAGATAGCACCCAGACCCTGAGTTAAAACCCCATGACAAAAAAAAAAAAAAAAAAAAAAGCAGTACATATATATACAATGCAATTTTACTCATCTATTAGAAAGAATAATATTATGTCATTTTCAAGGAAACAAATGGACTTGGACAAAATCATGCTAAATGAGGTAAGCCAGGCTCAGAAAAACAAACAGCACTTGTTTTCTCTCATATATAGGAGCTAGATTTAAAATACAAAAGGAAATCATAACTAGGGCTCTATGAATTTACACACAAATAAACTGACTAAACAAAGATACTTAGGGGAGGAATACAAAGGTGTAACTTTTCTAACAACTAAATTGCTGTTTATCAAAATGAATACCAGGAAATGGAAACGTGGGTACTTTTTTCTGGAGGTTGGAGGAGGCTACAAGAATGGAGGGGGAAGCTGGGCATTGGTGGCTCATGCCTGTAATCCTAGCTACTCAGGAGGCTGAGATCTGAGGATCGAGGTTCAAAGCCAGCCCAGGCAGCAAAGTCCATGAGACTCTTACCTCCAATTAACCAGAAAACCGGAAGTGGTATTGTGGTTCAAGTGGTAGAATGCTAGCCTTCAGCTGAAGAGCTGAAGGATAGTACTTAGTTCAAACCTCACAATAGACAAAAAAAAAAAAGAATGAAAAATACCCAACACAGACCTGTGGTTTCAGGTGCACAAAGGCTTTTTCAAAAGCCACAGCAATATCGGGGCTCTTTGAGTCAATCAGCACCTGCAGCCACAACTGCCATATGGTCACAGAGTCCTTGAACAGCTCAGTCCCAGATTCTGCTACCTCCAGAGCTTGCCTGCAGTCTTGGTGCAGCAATAACTCAATCTAAGTAAGACAAGGATCAGTGGAAAATCAATTATAAGAAAGCTTAAATTACTTATGTAAATAAGGCAAATTACCACCTCACTTGAAACAATTGTATCAACAGCTTTTTCAAAACCCACTGTTAAACAGGCACAAAGGGAACAATTTGGAATTCCTCCTTCTTTACAAGATCCTATCTATAACCATTATTTAAAGGTAGGGAAAAGCCAGGATGGTGGCTCAGGCCTGTAATCCTAACTACTCAGGAGGCTGAGATCTGAGGAAAGCAGTTCGAAACTAGTACAGATAGGGAAGTCCATGAGACTTTTATCTCCAATAAACTACTCAGAAAAAAGATGGAAGTGCCGCTGTGGCTCAAGTGATAGAGTGCTAACCTTGAGCACAAAGAGGCTCAGGGACAGTGCCCAGACCCTCAGTTCAAGCCCCAGGACTGGCAAAAATAAATAAATAAGATTAAATTTAAATTTAAAATGCTTGTGCCTCAATTTAAAAAAAAAAAAAAAAAAAGGACCTCGGGGAAGGAGGGAGGGAAGGGATGGTAGGGGGAAAACAATGGAGGGGGTAACAATGCTCAATAGGAAGTGTATTCATTACCTTACTCATGTAACTGTAACCCTCTGTATAGTATCTTTACAATAAAAAATAAAAATAAAATAAAATAAAATGCTTGTGCCTATACTAACAGGAAAAAAAAATGAAAACAAATTTCATTTTACAAAATTGAGAAAAAGTAAGTAAACGGCAGTATCCAGTCAGTTTTTTCAGCAATCATTTATGTCACACAATATCATAGGCTGGAATTCAATAATGAGTAAATCATGTATGTTCCCTGGGTCCTCTAGGACCTATAGTCTTTATTTTTTGAGGGGCCCATCTGGGGCTTGAACTCAGGACCTCGGCACTATCCTTCAGCTTCTTATGCTCAAGGCTAGCACTCTACCACTTGAGGCACAACTCTACTTCCAGCTTTTTGGTACTTTACTGGAGATAAAAGTCTCACAGACTTTCCTACCTGGACTGGCTTCAAACCTCAATCCTCAAATCTCAGCCTCCTGGATAGCTGGGATTATAGGCATGAGCTACCAGCAAATGCCTAAAACTTTCAGTCTAAAAAGAGTTGTCATGTGCCATTACAGAAAAAAAGAAAATCATCGGCTACAGGAGTTCAAATCAGAAGCATCAGTAGGATTTTAGGCAAGGATAGGAAAGGACTTCGAGAAAGGAAGCACTCAAGGAAGACTTAAGGAGAAACAAGTACCAGACAGGTGAATGTAGAGACTCCTACGAAAAGAGAAGAATATTCCTCTGAACCAGCGTGCAAGAGCCAAAGAATAGAGACAGCTTAGAAACTGAAGTTCAGTAATGACTGGAAGGCAAGATACAAAGACAGGACTAGAAGATTGGTCTGAAAGGAGTGTTAAGTCCCTTTATTCAAAGACAATGGGAAAAGACAGAAAAAAAAACTTCTAATTTTAACAGCTCATCCTATAAAGAAAAGCTTACAGAAAGGATAGGAATAGAATGAGCTAGACACTTAAGTTTAATGGTAGTATGTGGAAGGACTCTCATTTTAAAAGCCAAGTCAAAAATGATTGTTGAGGGGCTGGGAAGGTGGCTCAGTGGTAGAGCGCTTGCCTTGCATGCATGAGGCCCTGGGTTCGATTCCTCAACACCACATAAGCAAAAAGAAAAGAGCCGGAAGTGGTGGCTGTGGCTCAAGTGGTAGAGCGCTAGCCTTGAGCTGAAGAGCTGAGGGACAGCACCCAGGCCCAGAGTTCAGGCCCCACGACCGGACCCAAAAAAAAAAAAAAAGAAAGGGCAACATTAGAGATCTGAGCACATAGAATGTTTGAAATAGCCACAGTTGTAAATAGCAAAAGAAAAATAATGGAAAAGGAGCAAGCCTGTCATGGCATTGCTTAGAGACCACTTAAATTCATAGGATGAGACTGATATGCCAGCAATCAATAGCTCAAATAGAGGCAGAAGAAAATGCCAGGCCTGGCATTTTCCCACAGTTGCTATAATGGGAAAAGGGAATCTCAGTCTTGGAAGAGTAATAAAATAGACTATGCTGTATAGTATATGATATGTAAAAATTATGGGGAAAATGTTAATGTAAGAATAGAACACAATACAAAACAAGACATTACAAATAAATATAAAAGCCGGGTGTCAAGGGCTAATGCCTGTAATCCTAGCTACTCAGGAGGTGGAGATCTGAGGATTACATTTCAAAGCCAGTCTAGGCAGACAAATCCATAAGACTCCAATTAACCAGTAAAAAGTCAGAAGTGGAGCAGTGGCTAAAGTGGTAGAATGTCTGCCTTGAGCAAAAAAGCTAAATTAGAGTGCCAGACCTTGATTTCAAGCCCCAGTATAGGCAATAAAAAAAAAATTAAATAAATACACATGACACCAGCACAAAACAACTGGAACACGATGTGTGGAGCTGACAATAAATGTGCTTTCCATGTTCTTACCCACTGCTTGTACTGCAATTCTGCGAGGAGCTTGAGTTCATGAGCCTTTTTGAATGCAATCATGGTTCTTTCTAGCCTCTGAAATGAGAAAGATCCCTCAGGTCACTTAAAAGATCCCAGCAGAAGTCTTATAACCTCTAATCTCAGCAAAAGCAGTTCTATTTCTGAGAATTCAAAGAAGGATCTGCAATACTCCTGAATGGTGGTGTCACTCTCAAGATGAGGTAAGCAGGTGCACCAGGCACATGGCAATAAAAATAGAGCCCCATGGACTGGGAAGGTGGCTCAGTGGTAGAGCGCTTGCCTTGCATGCACGAGGCCCTGGGTTCGATTCCTCAGCACCACCTAAGCAAAAAGAAAAAAGCTGGAAGTGGCACTGTGGCTCAAGTGGTAGAGCGCTAGCCTTCAGCTGAAGAGCTCATGGACAGCGCACAGGCCCAGAGTTCGGGCCCCACGACCAGACCCAAAAAAAAAAAATAGAGCCCTTCCCCACCTTTGGCCATAAGGGCAAAGCAGACCAGGACCTTCAGAATGACAGGTCACTACCCACTAAGAGAAAGTGAGTGGTTAGGCGTGATATTACATAAGTTGGCCCAGACCCTGAAAAGGCTGTGCTTCTTTTCTATTTTCAAAAGACAGGCACTTTCTAACCACCCTCTGTAACTATATAACCTAAATCCTTACCTTCCCTCTGAGGAATGAACTACTTGTCTTCTTAGAAACTCTTTCTAAGCAAAAGTTGATGTAACACTTCCACATGGCCTCTGGAAAAGTCAGATTACATTAATCAGATCACCAATTCTGACCACAAGGCATCATACATCCTTTCTTCAAAGGGAAATTCTCCTCTGGAGAATTTTAATTACCTTGTTTAAGAAAAAAAGAGGGGAGGACAAGGCACTGGTGGCTCACATTTGCAATCCTATCTACTCAACAGGCCTGAGATCTGAGGATCAAGGTTTGAAGCTAGCCTGGCTAGCCTGTTAGAACAGTCTGACTCTTGTCTCCAACAGCCACCAAAGATATGGAAATAAGCTGTGGCTCAAATGGTAGAGTGCCAACCTAGGAGGAAAAAGCCAAGGGAGAGTGCCCTGACCCTGAGTTCAAGCCCCCTTATTGGCACAACAAAAGTAAATAAATGAATAAATAAAAGGAAGGAAGAAAGGTTATTGATTATATAGCTCATTGAACATATCAACTGAATAATGACACAAACTTGAAAGCTTTATCCATATTTCCTGTCCTATCTGTCTTTTATTCCCTACCATTATAAAATAAAAATTGAGCTGAGTTGCTGGTAGCTCACACTTGTAATCCTAGCTACTCAGGAGGCTGAGATCTGAGGACCAGGGTTCAAGCCTCAAGACCCGCACAAAAAAATAGTAACATTAAGTAAAAATTAAAATTTCCCAAGTACTATTTCCTCCAAATAAATGAACATAAATGCTATTATTGAGAAACTTTCACCATCAGAGAAAAAAAAGATGGCAAGCCCGATCCAAGCATTTGACAAAATGTACTATGGAGAGACTTTCAGTAAAGATGCTGAGCAGAAAAAATAGCACTACTACTACTATAACACAGGGTAAGTTTCACCTGTAGGCAGAGTCTTCACTGCCTCTTCATAAACAGCACAGCACCTCTCTTCTCTTTGGCCCAACTCCACTGCCCTGGCTTGTTTCGTTGTAGGCTGCTCTTCTGCGTTAGATATGATCTCTAATTCTTGACGTGCCACATAATCCCAGGTGAGAGGGTCATCTGTGTGCAAAGCCTGAAGGCTGAAAATTACAGCTTATTGACATTTTGCCAGATGAAGAGACTCCATCCAGAAGATCAGACAGTAGCCTGTGGTCTATAAGCGCACACAAATATACTTTACAACTGCAGTACTGTAAGAACCACTTCCTAATTAACTCGCCAGTATATCTTAATATATAGTCAATGCAACAGAGTTGTCAGACAGTTAACTGCATTGCATTCACAAACGTTATTTTCAAGTTGGCTCTCAAAGGCAAATTAGTTGCTGTGTGAGTATAGAGGCCTCCTTGAATCTTGGAGGACCTTATTATATCTAGGCTCTTGAATATGTATAATAATAAAGGCAGAGGAAAAGCACAATCTAGTCCTCACCAAAACGTGATAACCCTGATGTATCCAAAGGAAAGACTGATCCAGGCTCTCTCTTAACTCCCGGGGAATCAAAGGGGCCTATCTAAGAATGGAAATAACCACAAATAACCAAACATTAAAGAGTGAAATTATCTGCATCCCTAGCTATAGAGTTATGAATACAACTCTCATTTTATGGACAAAAGAGATGCCAGGAAACTAGATATAGATTCCAAAAGGAAGTCAGTAAGTCAAAGAATTTCTCTGAGAATATACTCATTCGTAATAGGATATAATTTTTCCTAAAACTTTAATGTGGCATTTTCTTTCTCCTCTTTCTAAAAACCTATGAAATCCTTCTCACAAGGCCAGAAGTAAACAGATTCACCCTGCCACTTCTACTTACTCATCATAGATTTCTTTTTGTAGATTTTTGGCAAAGTCAAATAGCTTCGCGATAGAAAGAAGTGACACATGAAATTCTGCACCTAAAATTTTTTAAAGCAGAGAGAATAATTACCAGTTAGACTGCAATGAATCCAATTTTCTTCATGTACTGGAATTAATGCCTTTTTTCTGTCGAGATAGTCTCCTAATCTCTTATTTTGCTCAAAGCTAGTCCTCTACCACTTGAGCAACAGCACCACTTCCAGTTTTTTCTATTTATGTGATACTGAGGAATCATGCATACTAGGCCAGCACTCTCCCACTAAGCCACATTCCCAGCCTATCTCCTGAACTTTTTGCCTGGGCTAACCTGAAACCATAAATCTTCCCATCTCCCTCTCCTGAGTAGATAAACTTAGATGGTATGAACCACTGGCACCCAACACGGTTGTTGCTTTGAAACAGGGTTTCACTGTATATCCTCAGCTGGCCTCAAACTCATTGATGCTCCTGCTTCGGCCTCCCAAGTGCTAGAATTAATATATACAACACCCCAGCTTTTTGCTTTTGCTTTGCAGGTACTGGAGGATAATCTAGGATCTCAGGCATGCTAAGTGCATGCCCTACAAGTGAGCTACACTTTCAGTTGGGAGTTGATTTTTTGGTTGTCACTTTTTTTGTGTTAGTGGGTTGGTAACAGGGATTCAACTCAGGGCCTTGCACTGTCTATTGGCATTTTTGCTCATGATTGGTGCTCTACTACTTCAGCCAAGTCTCTCCAGTCTGGTATTTTTGCTGGTTAGAGATAATCAAACTTTTCTACTTGGGCTGGCTTTGAGCCACAATCCTCAGATTTCAGCCTTTGAGTAGCTTGCATTACAACAGGTGGGAACACCATTGGTACCCACTGGCCTTTTTTTTTCCTTGAGAAATTGGACAAACTACGAGGGGAAATCATCCCATATTCTCACTACACAAATAAAACCATTATTAATATTTTGGAATATTCATGAGTACTTCTTTTATTGAGAACGTAATAAGGGTATAATAGACTAAATTATCAGTCTACTTAACTCCCAATGAGTTCAATACTCAATTAAATCTTATTGAAGCTAGGAGCTGGTGGCTCACCCCTGTAATCCTAGCTACTCAGGAGGCTGAGATCTGAAGATCACAGTTCAAAGCCAGCCCAGGCAGGAAAGCCTGAGACTCTAATCTCCAATAAACCACCAGAAAACTGGAAGTGGCACTATGGCTCAAGTGGTAGAGCCCTACTGACAGTGTTCAGGCCCAGAGTTCAAGCCCCATAACCAGCAACAACAACAACAAAAAAAAAATTGCCGGGCACCGGTGGCTCACGCCTGTAATCCTAGCTACTCAAGAGGCTGAGATCTAAGGATCATGGTTCAAAGCCAGCCCGGGCAGGAAAGTCCAGGAAAGTCCATGAGAATCTAATCTCCAATAAGCCACTAAAAAAGCATAAGTGGCACTGTGGCTCAAGTGGTAGAGCACTCGCCTTGAGCTGAAGAGTGCAGGGACAGCACCCAAGCCCAGAGTTCAAGCCCCACGACCAACCGGAAAAAAAAAAAATACAAGGCATTATTCCTACAGAGTTCTATATACATTCCAATGATTTTTTTTTTTTTTCATTTGGTCATGGCACTTGAACTCTGGGTCTGGGCACTGTTTCTCAGCAATTCAGCTCAAGGCGAGCACTCTACCACTTAAGCCATAGTGTCACTTCTGGCCTTTTCTGTTCATGTGGTGCTGAGGAATTGAACCCCAGGCTTCTGCATGTGAAGCAAGCACTCTACCACTGAGCCACCTTCCCAGCCCTCTGATAAAAATTTTATAAAACTCCCTAACAGTCCAAATTATAATCAGGTTTCCCTTTTCTATCACCAATAAATGTTTAAAAGAAACACACCTTTAATCTTGCTTACAGAAGTTTTGTAGATGATCCTCGCCAACTCACCCCTAAGGATTTCTTCAGGCTGATCAAAATCCCCCTACAAAATGTTATATTAAACATGACTTAAAAGAGAGTACCAGTAAACAGGTAAGTATGACGGTAAAATGAATGGTCCTGGACTGCCATGCCACATAACCTCTAGGAAACTGTGTGAGCCAGTTCCATCACTTGTAAAATGCACAGCTTGAAGACAACTGGTATTCCAAGTAGGTCCCTTCAAGCTCCTAACAGTAGGGGCAAGATCACAAAGCCTAAGTCTATCCTCCATTTAGTCCAGAATAAGTCAGGTGTACATGCTTTGATTACTCTTCTAAGATCTTTTGTAGATAAGACTATTCTGAGCTGGGCGGCGATGGCTCACGCCTGTAATCCTAGCAACTCAGGAGGCTGAGATCTGAGGATCGCGGTTCAAAGCCAGCCGGGACAGGAAAGTCTGTGAGACTCTTATCCCCAATTAACCACCAGAAAACCAGAAGTGGTGCTGTGGCTCAAGTGGTAGAGCACTTGCCTTGAGCTGAAGAGCTGAGGGACAGTAGGCAGGCCCAGAGTTCAAGCCCCGAGACCAACAAAAAAAAAAAAGAAAGAAAAGTTCTGAGTTAGAAACTACAATAACAGACAATTCAACAAAGTCCCTTTTTCAGCTCAAAAAAATTTTAGAGGAGGTACTGGGGTTTGAACTCAGGGTTTCACACTTGTTAAGTTTGCAAGCCCTCTAACCATATGTATTTTTTTCCATAGTTTTGAGATATCTGGCTTTTTGCTGGGACCAGTCTGAACAGACCTTTTTTTCTTTTTTTGGCACTGGGACTTGAACTCAGGCTGTGAGTTCTTGCATGGCTTTGTTGTTAGCACTCTACTACTTGAGCCACACCTCCATTTCTTGTTTTGGTGGTCAAAGATAAAGAGTCTCACAGGTTTTTTCCTAGGCTGGCTTCAAACTGTGTCCTCAGATATTAGACCCCTGAGTAGCCAGGATTACTAGTGGCTCATGCCACAAACACCTGGCTCCCAACTCTCTTAATTAAGTCTCTTACACTGGTTGAGATGACAGGGACACAGCACCACACCCATTTCTGTTGAACTGGGGATCTTGTGAACTTTTTGCAATCTCCCACGTAGCTGCAATAACAGCTACAGGTTATTCATCTCAAACCATGGCTCATCTCAAACCATGATACTCCCATTCTCTACCTCTCCAGTAGTTAGGATTACAAGCATGAGCCACAGTACTCAGCTTTTGTTTGTGGAATTGTTGTTCTTTGAGACAGTCTCACTTATGTGGTGCTGGCTGGCCTAAAACTTCTGATAACCCATCCCTCCTTCCCAAATATTGGGATTATAGGTGTACACAATACCTAGCACTTCAACTATGACATTCTAAATCTTTCTTTAATTACATTTTAAAAGTTTACAAAAAGGAAAAAAGCTGAGTGTGTTAGAGCACACTTGCCATTCTGATACCTTAAGAGGCTGAGGCACAGGGCTAGGAATATGGCTTACTGGTAGAGAGCTTGCCTAGCATATATAAAGCCCTGGTTCAATTCATCAGTACCACATAAACAGAAAAAAAGAGAAGTGGCACTGTGGCTCAAATGTTAGAGTGCTATCCTTGAGCAAAGAAGCTCAGGGACAGTGCTCAGATCCTGAGTTCAAACCCCAGGACTGGAAAAAAAAAAAAAAAAAGAGGCTGAAGCAGAACAGTAAACACTTCAGAAAATAAAAAAGGAAGGGAGGGAATAAGGCTAGAATACATGACTTCCACAATCTTTGTTAAGTTCACTGAACTCATTAATACATCATTTAATGAAATTATACAATATTTAACAAAAGCATTGTCATTCCATCAGTAATAATTTGAGGACTACTTCAATTAGTCTCACTATAATATCTTTAAAGCACAAACATTAATTAAATCAACTCTAGACTCTTCTTCAGATTTCAAAATATGGGGGGAAAATATATACATATATATCAAAGATTTTTCTCTTCCTCCTAAGCAGGTTCAATAACTATACATCATTAACAACTGACAATATACCAGAATCTTACCATGTCCATGGCAGCCTTTTCAAATTCTTGCTTTTCCTTTCTCAGTTTCTCAGCATGCATCAGCTCCATTCTAAAGTACTACAAAAGGGAAATAATGACCTGAAATTCCTTAGAGATACTTATTTTTCAATTAGAAACATCAAAGATGGCTTTTTGTTTTAATCTATTAATATCACACACAGAAAGGTCAGGAATCTTATGTTTACTTTGTTATGAAACTAGTTGACAATGATAAGGTATAGTAGAAATATTTTATGCTCTTCTAACACACACTCTAAGGATATCAAACACTTGAAAAATATTTTTGTATCCTTAGTTAACAGTTTACAAATAGCCCTAAGTCCAACCTTAAGTTTTTTTGGCACAGTGAAGCAACATGCTAAATAATGTTGCAACAATCCAGCTAAGAAGTACATAAGTTTGTCATCTAACAACGAAAGTTTCTGCAAGTAATTTTATTTATGGTTTCCTAATACATATCAAAAGTATCAACAAAGTATTAAGCATCTGGAGCTGTGCACCAGTAGCTCACACTTGTAATCAGGAGGCTGAGATCTGAGGATCACACTTCAAAAAACAGCCTGGACAGAAAAGTCTATGAGACTCTTATCTTTAATTAACCACCAGAAAACTGCAAGTTGGGCTATGGTTCAAAGTGGTGGTGATAACTTTAAGGGAAAAAGCTCAAGGACAGCTCCCAGGCCCAAGTTCAAGCCCTACCAAAAAAAAAGAATTCTGACTTCTAGCCCCACTAAGCATTAAAATAACAGAGTACATCAGACCCAATAAACAGAAACTTTTAATTATTTGCAGTTTCAAAGATGTCTAAAATTCAATGGACAATCAATCACTCATCATACAACAAAACCCAGGAAAATCTCAACTTGAATGAAAATCTATCAAGAGATGACATAGATATAAGAATTATCTGACAAGGATTTCAAATTGCTTTCATACTATTCTTTACTGAGGAATAAAATAAACAACTTGAAAAAAGTGAAATAGTATCAGCAAACAGAAGAAATTAGGAGGCTAAGTCAGGAGAATCTTGCATTCCAGACCAGCCTGAACTACATAGCAAGGTTCTATCTCAAAGCTGGGTACCAGTGGCTCACACCTGTAATCCTAGCTACTCAGGAGGCTAAAATCTAAGGATTGTAGTTTGAAGTCAGCCCTGGCAGGAAAATGTACAAGATTCTTATCTCCAAATAATCACAGAAAAAGCCAGAAGTGGCACTGGCTCAAGTGGTAGAATACCAGGACTGGCAGAAAGAAGGAAGGAAGGGAGGGAGGGAGGGAGGGAGGGAGGGAGGGAGGGAGGGGGGTGAGATGGGGGAGCGAGGAGGGGGAGGGAGAAAATGTCTCAAAAAAAAAAATTAAATTATAAGAGCCGGGGATATAAGTTAGTGGCAGAATATTCCCCTAGCATATCAAGGCCTGGGTTTGATCCCTAGCACAAATTTAAAAAAAAAAAAGAAAATTCAGAACTGAAAAAAAAAAATTTTTTTAAGCCAATAGTGGACCAGGCAGTTGGCTCACCCCTGTAATTCTTCTTTTTTTTTTTTGCCAGTCATGGTACCTGAAGGTACCATGGACAGCTGGGCACTATCCTTCAGCTCTTCAGCTCAAGGCTAGCGCTCTACCACTTGAGCCACAGCGCCACTTCTGGCTTTTTCCGTTTATGTGGTGCTGAGGAATCGAACCCAGGGCCTCATGCATTCGAGACAAGCACTCTACCACTGAGCCACCTTCCCAGTCCTCACCCCTGTAATTATATCTACTCAGGAAGCTAAAATTTGAGGATTGCATTCAAAGCCAGCCTGGGTAACAAAATCTGTGAGACTTTTTTTTTTTTTTGGTCAGTTGTGGGGCTTGAACTCTGGGCCTGAGCGCTGTCCCTCAGCTCTTCAGCTCAAGGCGAGCCCTCTACCACTTGAGCCACAGCACCACTTCCAGCTTCTTCTGTTTATGTGGTGCTGAGGAATCAAACCCAGGGCCTTGTGCATGTGAGGCAAGCACTCTACCACTAAGCCACCTTCCCAGCCCCACCTGTTAGACTTTTTTAAACATTTTTTTTTTTTTTTTGTCGGTCGTGGGGCTTGAACTCTGGGCCTGGGCGCTGTCCCTCAGCTCTTCAGCTCAAGGCGAGCGCTCTACCACTTGAGCTACAGCGCCACTTCCTGTTTTCTGGTGGTTTATTGGAGATAGGAGTCTCACGGTCTTTCCTGCCCGGGCTGGCTTTGAACCGCGATCCTCAGATCTCAGCCTCCTGAGTAGCTAGGATTACAGGCGTGAGCCACCAGCGCCCGGCACCTGTTAGACTTTTATCTCCATTTAACCATAAGAAAACCAGAAGTGGTACTGTGGCTCAAAATGGTAGAGCAAGGTCTAGGAACATAGCTTAGTGGTAGAGTGCTTGCCTAGCATGCATGAAGCCCTACGTTTGATTTCTCAGTACCACATACACAGAAAAAGCCAGAAGTGGCACTGTGGCTCAAGTGGTAGAGTGCTAGCTTTGAGCAAAAGAAGCTCAGGGACAGTGTCCAGGCCTTGAGTTCAAGCCCCAGGACTGGCACAAAAAAAAAAAAAAAAAAAAGGTAGAACATTAGATAGCCTTGAACAAAAGAGCTCAGGGACAGTGCCAAGGCCCTGAATTCAAGCCCTATGATGAACCAAAAAAAAAAAATCAGAAACAGAAACAGTAGCATGCCCAATAGTACAACAGAGAAGCCAATTAACTTGGAGACTGGCCCTGCAATAGTAAACTATACATTACAATAATAACATATAACAAAATATGCAAGAAAATAAATCTATGTATGTTGAAAAATGACAACATACATGTAGATATGAACTGTAGCAATGTTAATTTCTTATTTTTGATACTATACAATTTTACAAATATAATCATTGAAGAAACCTAGGTGAAGCATACCCTAACCTCACTGTATTATCTTTGTGACTTCCAGTGAGCCTAAAATTACTTCAAAATAAAAAGTGACAAATATATATATCAAACTATAAGAAAGCCAGGGTACTGTTGTAGAAATAGGAAATAAAATAAATGCATGATTAGTACATACTATACAGTGGATTTATCCAATATTTTTGATTTGTACCATTTTTTAATTACACAAACAAAATTGCATCTGTGTTGCATATTCACACTTATTATAAATCTGGCTTTAAGAAGATCCCTAGGGATGAAGTCCCATCTGTTCTTTGACTCTCCAGTCAGTGAGCTCACATCTTGGTTGCAGTCAGTCTTCTCAAAGAACAAAGGGAATGCTGCCACCTCAGACAGCAGCACATTGTGAGCTCCTTGCACAGAGGAGGCACAGCTCCTCACAATGTCTGGACCATGCTGCTAGGGACAGTCAAAGCAACAGTGTGTCATCACCTTCACCAGCATAACCAGTCCTCCTCGCTGGTCCTCAGGGCACTAGGCATGGCAGCAAAGTGATGGCACTATTTCCAGGCAAACAACCATCATGGACTTTTCTTTGGGCAGGCCAAAGCTAGAGGTTTAGGGGATCTCTGTGTCCATGGCATAAATCTGAATGAGATCAGACACAATGTTATCAATGATTGGCTTGGTAAGGTCTTCACTAAACACCTGCCACCATGGCTTCTCGGCCTCCTCCTCAGCAGGGACTTCTACTCCATAGACCTGTAGGGCCAGGTAGAGCACAGCCACGGCCAGGTGCTGAGGCTGGAAGCGAAGGCACAGCCCCCCGTGGTAGCTGTCCCGCAGCAAGGCCCAGGCCACGATGGCAACAGGAGTCCGCTGCCAGCTGTATCGATTCAGCCAGTGTTTGAGGGCCATCAGATAGTGGAGCAGGTACTTGTGCGGGTGCTGGAAGGAGACCTGGAAGCGCAGGGCCCTCAGCACAAGGAGCTCACACTGCACAACACTATCCCGGAGCTCCCAGAAGCGCGAGTCCAGCTCCAAGGGCTCGCTGCCTGGGTGGAAGTAGCTGTTGGATACATTGATGATGTCTCTGATTCGCAGGTGCTGCTCCTCCACCTTGCCCGCCAAGTAAATGGATGACATGGCGACGAGGTATGGGTCATAAGCCTCCAGGCTGATCTCGCGAAAGAACTTATGGTAGATGGTGCAGGCAGTGGCGATGGGAATGGAGCGCATAGCTAGCTTGACACCTGCCTCCATGATGAACCTTGTCACTCGGAAGTGCACCCTGGGCTCCGACCCTGCCACCCCTCCAGAGGTATCTGAGTGAGGGGTCTCCATGAGGCCACCACGTAGCCCCAGGACTCCCTTCCTAAAAGCAGCAGCAGCAAGGCCAGTTCCAGGGGTTCTTAAAGGCTCTCTGCTGTCACTGCACTGACATAAGCCACATCAAGGCAGAATCTTTAACTGGTTTTTTTTTTTTTTTTTTTTTTTTGCAGAGCAGTGCTGGGAACTAAACCCAGGGCTGAGATAGATTAGGCAAATGTTCTACCACTGAGCCACATCCGTAGCCCAGTGCTTTACAGTTAAAAGACATTAACATTTTAAAAAGACAAAAAGCTTATACCTTTTAAATGAATAATTCTGCTTCCAAAAAAGTAAGGAGTTTATCCTAAAGTGCTAAAATTTCATATACAGAGATGTGAGAGCAAATACTGGAACCAATCTAAATGCCACAATACAGGAAAAATGAAAGATTTATTATAAAAGAAGCAGTCTGTTAATGTAGGCATAAAATAGCTACAAGTGGTAATGGTACATGGGATTCTAATGCTCCTTTCCTTTCCTGTTAAAGCTACCAAGAAGCTGTAATGTTTCTGTTATAGAAACAAAAATATGAAGACAGGTGAAAAATGGGCTCAGGAAAAAAAAAAGGAAATACACAGCAGTGTTAATAGCATCGGCCCTCAATCAAGTCTTTCATCCTGTGACACACTCACTCACTTCCTGATAGAGTTTCTGGCACTCAGGATGAAAGCGCAGAGCACGAAGAAAGAGCTGTCTTGCACTTTCAGAAGACAAGCGATCTTCCATTTCCCATTTGGCTGCCATAATCCACAAAGCTGTAAGAGAAAACACATGAAACATCATTCATAAATTAATCAAGTTAGGCAAAGACACACCAATGCTCCCATTGGTGTGAAGGAGGGGCAAAATTTTACTCGAGAGTTTTTTTTTTTTGGTCGGTCATGAACTCTGGGCCTGGGTGCTGTCCCTGAGCTCTTCAGCTCAAGGCTAGTGCTCTACCAGTTGAGCCACAGCTCTACTTCTGGCTTTTTCTGCTTATGTGGTACAGAGGAATGAACCCAGGGCCTCATGCATGCAAGGCAAGCACTCTGCCACTGAGCCACCTTCCCAGCCACTACTTTGGAGTTTTCTAAGCAAATAGGTAAATGTAAACATGTTCATTCTAAATGATGGAGATGTAAATGCCTATTACTGTATTTTATCATATCTAAAGCCAACATACATTTTTTTAAATTTAACTACAATGTTTATTCTTCTAGTTTTACTATTTGTTTCTTATAAAAACACAAAAACTAAGATTCTATATTTTGAAATCTCAAATAATTTTAATCCTCTTGTCTCTTGCTCTTCTCATGTCTTTTTGTTTTTGGTCAGTCATGAGGCTTAAACTCGGCCTAGTCACTATCCCTGTACTCTTTTGTTCAAGGCTAGCACTCTACCACTTTGAGCCAGAGCTCTACTTCTGGTTTTCTGGTGGTTAATTGGAGATAACAGTCTTGTGGACTTTTCTGCCTGGGCTGGCTTTAAACTAGCCTCAGTCTCCTGAGTAGCTAGGATTATAGTCATGAGCCACAGCTCCCCACAACATTCCATATTCTTTCAATTTTTTTTTTTTAACCTTTTTTTGCCAGGGTCTAGGCACTGTCCTTGATCTTTTCTCTTTTTTTTGCTCAAGGCTAGCACTCTACCACTTGAGCAACAGTGTACTTCTGGCTTTTTCTATTTATGTGGTGGTACTGAGGAATTGAACGCAGGGCTTCATGCATGCTAGGCAAGCAATCTACCACTAAGCCACATTCCCAGCCCCTCAAATTTTAATTCTATTAGTACCAAAACCAAAGGCACTTTAAAGTTCATAAATGCTGGTGCTAGCTGGGCACTGGTGGCTCATGCCTGTAATCCTAGCTACTCAGGAGGCTGAGATCTGAGAATCACAGCACAAAGCTAGCTGGGACAGGACTCTTATCTCCAATTAACCACCAGAAAACCGGAAGTGGCACTGTGGCACTTGCCTTGAGCTGAAGAGCTAAGGGACAAAGTCCAGGCCTAGAGTTCAAGCCCCACGACCGACCAAAAAATAAAAACAAAAAATAAAAAATAAATGCTAGGTGTTAGTGGCTCATGTCTATAATCCTAGCTACCCAAGAGGCTAAGATCTGATGATGACAGTTCAAAATTAGCTCAGGCAGAAAAGTTCCCATGATACCCTTTATCTCCACTTAACCACTCAAAAACTGGAAGTGGCGCTGTGGCTAAAGTAATAGAGCACTAGCCTTGAGCTGAAGAGCTCAGGGGCAGTGCTCAAGCCCAGAGTGCAAGCCCCATGATCGACCCAAAAAATAAAAACAAGAATCTCTAAATTTGTCTGGCTTTAAACTATAATCCTCAGATCTCTTGAGTAGCAAAGATTACAGGCCTGAGCCACCAGCTCCAGCCTCCTCATATTTCACTGCCTCCAACAAAAAATGGCCTTTCAAGGAATGATCTATTTATTTTCCATCAAGCCAAATGAACTAATAATCCTTTTTGTCTATAGATACAATACCTGGTCAAGTATCTACTGGCTTGCAGTAAGTAGGGATGAGCTAACAGGAGTTAGGGTTAGGGTTAGGGATGAGCTATCCAGGAACAGAAACTACCAAGACAAATTATCTAAGCTCAAACCCACCAAAAATATTGTGTAAGTTCAAATCCTCTTGGGCTTCTCAAGTAAGATAATTCCAAAACAGCTTGAATCTAGAAAAAAGAACTCATAAGGATTTTACCATACCTGGCTTGTTCGAATGAATGGCCAACATGGCAGAGAATATCTTGCTAAGTTGAGCTTTAGTACCCTGTAAAAGATAAAGAAAAATTTCTACTTCCTGTACAGTGAAATCATTGCTATTAATCTGTAAGGAACATGGACTGTGCCCACCCTGACTACAAGCTGGAGTTTGGCTCAAGTAGTAGAGTGCTTGCTCAGCAAGCACAAGGTGCCAGTATACTCACACACACCCCCCAACCCCTGCAAAAAAAAAAAAAAAAGAATCCAATAATGAGCAAGATCTGCTATTGTTCAGGACACACCAATAAAAGCAGACATACTTGTAGTGTTCTTCTACCTAAATCACTAAACATGTCTATTATTTTTAAATTTTTTCAATTTTACTGAATAAATATGTGTAAAAATGATTTTCTTTTCAAATGATTTGAGTCATTTATATAGTCACTCAGGTATATAAATGTTATACTCAAGTTCAGCCTCAGCCTTCTTGAGTTCCTTTCCCATTCTTAGACAACAGCTTTGGGAAAACATGGAGTTCAGTAATGAAGCCGCTTTTTTAAAAGGTTTTAAGACTAACAGAAACAAAAGGGAAAGAAGACATAGTTGTACTCACCCATTTCTTACAAAAAACTACATAGGACAGCCAAAGCTGTACATCATCCTGCAAGAAAAGCACTCTGGTAAGCTGCCTCGCCTTAACTTTATATGTAATATACCTTCGCAATAATTTAGTTTGTTGACAACATAAGCCAAGTTCCAGAAGATCTCATTACCATGTGCCTATGAGGATCTTCCTTAGTGAGCGTAACCACAGTAACTTAATCTGACTCTCCACTCCCATCCCACCATCTCCAAGACAAGTCTGTTGTCTACCCAATTTGTTCAGTGCAGGTCTGAAAAGATCTCAATTAGGTACAGTAAGAAAACCTGAGGTTCCTAGAAATCTAAAGGATTTCCCATATAAGGGGGGTGACAGTGACCAAGAAGCATTGCTGTTAACCTGACTTGGGGAATTGTAACTCTTGTATAACTACTTAATAAACAAATGAAAAAAATGAAACAAAAGAAAATTAAAACTTAAAAAAAAATTCCACTTCCAAGTGAGACTTAAAGAACATAGTTACTAAGGTACTATTCCCAGTCTTCAGTGTACTTCCCTTCTCAGAGATACCCAATGGTCTACCAGGGACTCCCTAAACCTTAATCATGTGCCAAACACACTGTTCTCAGCACCAACATCACAAAATAACAATTAGGTTATGAGCTTGATTTTCTTCACAGTCTATGTGGCTTAAAAAATGTTCCAAGACAGGCACTGGTGGCTCACGCCTGTAATCCTAGCTAATCAGGAGGCTAAAATCTGAGGACTGTGGTTTGAAGCCTGCCCAGGCTTGAAAATCTATGAGATTTTTATCTCTATTAAACTACAAAATAAGCTACAAGTTGAGCTATGGTTTGAGTGCTAAAGAGCTAGCCTTAAGCAAAAGAAGCTCAGGGAGTGCACCCAGGCCCTGAGTTTCACCTCCAGGACCAACAAACACAAAAAAAAGTTCCAAGCAATGACACAATCATTCAAATAGGTATTAAGATACCTAAGATGGGAACAGAAGATAATACATTTGGATATCTAAGTCATCATACATACAATACACATTTTCATATTTATAAAGGATGCTGTGATCACTTACTTTCCACTTTGCTGAAGCACGCCCAAAGACCCCATGTATCCGTTGCACAATTGAATGTTCAATCTCATCCTTCTTAAATGAATATCTGATGCGCTAAAAGGGGACAAGAGTTAAATTCCCAGTACCAAAAATAAAAATAAAAAATAAAGTGGAATATGAAACACTCAGTTTAATGATATTTATCCAAAATAGCCTTCCCACTTGGTCATTTAACTATATTGGCAATGGCTAAAAGCATGGCTCATATGATAGACCACCTGCCTAGTAATCATCAAACCTCAGCAACACACACACACAAAAAAAATGTATTTTTTAAATTAAAAAAAAAGTAGGGCTAGGAAGGTGGCTCAGTGGTAGAGCGCTTACCTTGCATGCATGAGGCCCTGGGTTTGATTCCTCAGCACCACATAAGCAAAAAGAAAAAAAAGCCGGAAGTGGCACTATGGCTCAAGTGGTAGAGCGCTAGCCTTGAGCTGAAGAGCTAAGGGACAGCACCCAGGCCCAGAGTTCAGGCCCTACAACCAGACCCCTCCCCCCCCCAAAAAAAAAGTAGGGCTGGGATGTAGCTCAGTGGCAAAGCGCTTGCCTAGTAAGTGCAACGTCCTGGGTTTGATCCCCAATACCAAAAAAGAAAAGACAAAAAAAATACAATTTAAAAAAAAGTACTAACAAATAAAGCAAATTATTACAAATAACCATTATGAGCTCCTTGCAGTTTAATAAGTCTCTCAAATAAGTCCTAGTTATGGAGACACCAATTTACTTATATATTTTTCTAACTTCTGAAAAGTTATCTACTTACTGCTCTTCTTCGCTGGATCAGCTCCAAAAGATTAATTTCATACTGTGGAAGAAAAACATACAAAGAAATATAAGCAAGAAAAATTACAACTTTTTAAAGGTAGGAAAAACAATTTTTTAATTGAAGATAATTTGTTATCAATAAGCAGAATTTACAATAATTATTATTTCAATATTATTAATATTATCAATAAATATTGTCACTAAAAATCCACCTTACAGCTGTAAGATTTACAAGTATATACAGAACCATGAACAAAGGGTAGGCACAGAAAGAAAGGGAAGGAGAGGGGCTGGGAAGGCAGCTCAATGTTAGAGTGCTTTCCTAACATGCATGAGACCCTGGGTTCCATTCCTCAGCACCACATAAGCAAAAAAAGCTGGAAGTGGCACCGCTGTGGCTCAAGTTGGTAGAGCTCTCGCCTTGAGCTGAAGAGCTGAGGGACAGTGAGTGCGTAGGCCCAGTTCAAGCCCCATGACCGACAAAAAGAAAGAAAGAAAGGGAAGGACAGAGGAAAGAGGGAAGGAGGGAGAGAGGGAGAGAAGAGAGGGAATCTTGGAGCACTTCTTCTTTCCAAGTTGACTTAAAGACTTTCTACTATCTATGGTCAAATTCTCACTCCTCTCTCTTGCTCTCCAAGAAGCAAATCTCTTGCTGAAATCCTAATTACACATTATGTCTGGCAGATTCAGATCTAACTAATAATAAAGAGTTCCATTTGGCAAGGATTGAAGCCCAGTGAGCAAAACAACTCCCAATAACTGTCTCTAGTTCTGATACGTATTTCTAATCAACAACTCTAATCAGCTAGGCACGTGCTGGTTCATGCCTAGAATCGTAGCTACTCAGGAGGTTAAGATCTGAGGATCAGGGCTGGGAAGGTGGCTCAGTGGTAGAGTGCTTGACTCGCATGCATGAGGCCCTGGGTTTGGTTCCTCAGCACCACATAAACAGAAAAAGCCGGAAGTGGCACTGTGGCTCAAGTGATATAGCGCTAGTCTTGAGATGAAGAGCTGAGAGACAGCATCCAGGCCCAAAGTTCAAGCCCCACGCCAGACCAAAAAAAAAAAAAAAAGATCTGAGGATTGTGGTTCAAAGTCAGCCAAGGCAGAAAAGTCACCCTGAGACTCTTATCTGTAATTAACCACTCAAAAACCAGAAATGGAGCTGTGGCTCAAGTGGTAGAATGCCAGCCTTGAACAGAATAAGGCTCAGGGACAGAGTCCAGGCCCTGAGTTCAAACCCCATACTGATTTTTTTTAAAAAAGAAAATTCTAATCAATCCCAATCTCTAACAATTATGAACTTCTGCAGAAATGTTAATCTTACCGTCCTCTAATTTCAATTTGTCAGGGGATTAAACAGCAACAAAATAATTCACTTACTTGGACATAATTGATAAAGTCTTCCTTGAAAAGGGCTCTTCTCTGTATTTTGTATTCTAGATCAGAAGCCTTCTTAATGATAGCCCTGAAGAGAAAGTCATTTAAATTACAACACTTAATCATTAGTGGTGGCACACATCCGTAATTCCAGCCCACAGAAGAATAGCAAACTGGAGACCATCATGGCTTCCGAGGAAAACTCTGTCCTAATGAACCAAAAAATTGGAATAGATGTATAGCAAATGGGTAGCATGATTGCCTAGCAAGCACAAGACCCTGAGTTCAAATCCTAGTACTGCCATGAGTGAATGAATGCATTAATGAATGAATGAAAATAAGCTATATTTTTTTGGTGCTGGTCCTGGAAGCCACCTTGTACCAGCAGTGCCTGAGCTCTTCAGGTCAAGGCGAATGCTCTACCACTTGATTCATAGTGCTACTTCCGGTGTTCTGTTGGTTAATTGGAGATAAGAGTCTCATGGACTTTCCTGCCCAGACTGGCTTCAACATCAATCCTCAGATCTCAGACTTCTGAGTAGCTAGAAAAATAGGTATGAGCCACGGGCCCCCAAGCTACAACATTTCAAGAAGCAAAAGTTAAATAATAGCTGGGCGAAGGTGGCTCAAGCCTGTAAGCCTAGCTACTCAGAAGGCTGAGATCTGAGATCATAGTTCTAAGCCAGTCTAAGCAGGAAAGTCCCATAAAGCACTCAGAAAACCGGAAGTGGCCTCGTGGCTCAATTGGTAGAGTGCTCACCTTGAGCTGAAGAGCTCAGGGACAGTGCCCATGTATAGTGTTCAAGCCCCATGACCAACCCCCCCCCCAACCCCCACAAAAAAAAAAAGTTAAAAATTTAGGTTTAGGATTTTTGTTTTATGGATTCCCACGCCATCCCCCTTGGTAGCATAGGGTTTGAACCCAGGGCCTTGTGATTACTAGGCAGAAACTGTACCACTTGAACCATACCCCCAACCTTTTCTGCTTTATTTTATGAATAAATATTTTTGCCTAGGCCAGTCTGACCACAAGCCTCCTATTTAGGCTTTCTGGGTAGCTAGGATGACAGGTGTATGCCTCTGCACCCAGCTTATATTTGTTGAAAACAAACAGAACCAATAAAACTTTTGCCTAGGGCTAGGAATGTAGCTTAGTGGTACAGTGCTTGCCCAGCATGCATGAAGCTCTGGCTTCAATTCCCCAGTACCACGTACACAGAAAAAAGCCAGAAGTAGTGCTGTGGCTCAAGTGGTAGAGTGCTAGCCTTGAGTAAAAGAAGCTCAGAAAAAAAAAAAAAAAAAAAAAGAAGCTCAGGGACAGGGTCCAGGCCCTGAGTTCAAACCCCAGGACTAGGGGGAAAAAAAATCTTTTGCCCAGGCTAGTTTTGAATTTCTGTCCTCACAATCTCCAATTCCCAAGTAGCTAGGATTATGGGTGTTAATCCTCATACCTGGTTAGGTTTTGTCTGTTTCATTGGGGAGGAAGGGGGTGTTTAATTTATTATTTATCTTTATGTTGGTTATTTTGTCATACATTTCAAATATGTATTTACCAAAACATAATTCCCAATTACACTGGTCTTGCCACAGTGAGACAAGTATTCTCTTACATGATTACTTCTGTGCTCTCGTCAACATCAATTTATTTTGAATTTTCAGGAAAATCACCTAAATTGCCAGAATCACTTACATTCCCATCACCATAATGCTTTGCATAATTTGTATGTAATATGAATAAAGATATGTTTTCTTCCTAATTGAGATCACTTAGGTATTTGTCCTGTTTTGTTTTCTACATTCTTGGGATCAAACCTAGGGGGCCTTGAGCATCCTAGACAAGCGTCCTACTAATGAGCTACATCTCCATGTAGGTTTTTGTGGGCTAGTACTCTACCACTTGAGCCACACAGCTCCACATCAGGCTTTTTTGGGAGTTACTTGGGAGATAAGAGTCTTTGACTTTCCATCCCAGGCTGCTTCCTACGCGCTGTCCTCAGACCTCAGCCTCCTGGATGGGATTACAGCCAAATTAAAATAATAATAATAATACTCTCCACCTAAAAAAAGCTTATTAGTTCAAAGGACTTAAGTAACCTTACTCATAGTTACGGAGTGAATGCATAAAATGTACATTAGAAGGAGGTATAAGAAAGAGCTGGGGCTGGGAAGGTGGCTCAGTGGTAGAGTGCTTCAGGCCCTGGGTTCGATTCCTCAGCCACACATATGTAGAAAAACCTGGAAGTGGTGCCATGGCTCAAAGTGGGAGAGCACTCGCCTTAATTAACCGCAACAAATCACTGACTGCCAGCAATGCGTGAAGACCCACCGGCTCCCGCTGGGCGTCGGCGGGACGCCCCCTCCCCCCCCCCCCCCCCCCCGCCCCGCTCTCCCCCACGGGCCTGCTCCGGGCAGAGCAGCCCAGGTGTCCGGGGTGGCGGGGTGGGGGCCAGGCCTGGGGCGGACGGGTCCCCGGGGAGTGGGTGCGGATTTCATTCCGGCAATCAATCTCCTCAGACCCCCTCAAAGCGCTCCCGCCGGTCGCCCCGCCAGCGGGACGACCCCCCCCACACACACACCTCCCCTCAGCTCGCCCGGCCCGCCCGCTCCCCCGGCCCCTCTCACTTAATCTCCTTAGCGCTGAACAGCCCAATGCGCTCCAGCTGTTCCAATTCGGGGATACGGTCTTCTATGCGCTCCTGGATAATCTCCGCCATGAGGTCCGAGCTATCTACCACCCGCCCGGGGAACCTCCGACAGCTACCAACACACGCCCGGCGCGGCCCACCTTCCAGGCGGGACACCCAGCCTTCACGCTGGGTGACTGGCGTCACGTGCTTCCGAGCTCCCGCCTTTTCCGCTTCCGCGGTCGGGAACGACCGCTTGAGAGCGCTGTCGCCACCCTGTGGTTGACTGTGGGATTGCAACGATGGCACTCCACCATTTCCGGAGGGGAGGGGCTAGAATGAGGGCGGAGCTAAACGAGGGCGGAGCGCCAGACCTACCGGGGTTGGGGGGAGCGGATTTCAATCAGTTATGTAAAAAAGGCATAAAGTGCAATCTCTGGGCTTGGCCACTGTCCCTCAGCTCTTCAGCTCAAGACTAGCACTCTACCACTTGAGCCACAGTGCCATTCCAGGTTTGTTTCTTATATGGTGCTGAGGAATCGAACCCAGGGCCTCGTGCATGCAAGGCAAGCGCTCTACCACTGAGCCACCTTCCCAGCCCTGATATTTTCTTTATTACAGAACATAACCTTTTCAGACCTTGAAAATCGGTGGCTCTTACACTGACCAGCTACTCAAAAATCACTTAAACTGGGCTGAGACTGTGGCTTAGTGGTAGAGCACTTGCCTTGCATGCATGAGGCCCTGGGTTCGCAGAGAAAGCCAGAAGTGGCACTGTGGCTCAAGTGGTAGAGCACTAGCCTTGAGCTGAAGAGCTGAGGGACAGTGCCCAGGCCCAGAGTTCAGGCCACACGACCAAGAAAAAAATTTAATTATTATTTTGACTATGTGGACAAGAACATTTAAACAAAACCCCTGAGTTGATATACCAGACCCTATAATCTCTTTTATGAGGTGAGATTTGGATAATGAATATTGGAGAGTTTGTAAAATAATCAACAAGGTACAGGTAAACGTTCCTCACTTGGCTACCCAAGCATTTCTAAGAAAACTAGCATGTAAAGGGTATTGCTGGTAGAGTTCCCAACCCTAAAAAACAGTAACTATGTGGTTCTGTTTCTTTTCAAGTTCTGGAAGAAAATCAAAAGTCAAAGCAGGAGATCTTGCTGAACCTGTTTATTTCAACATTCACATTAGCACCTTGATTATCTGTGTGATTTATGAATGGGGAATAGACTTAGTACTTTAACAGAATTCCACCATTCCTCTCCTTCCTTTCTTCCTTTCACATCTTGCCCCACTCGTCTCAAAACTGAGAGGAAGGTTGGCTTAGGCTTTATCATTTAATTCTCTCTGCTATAAGACATGAAGGAAGTGAAAAAGAAATGAAAGGGCTGGGAAGGTGGCTCAGTGGTAGAGCGCTTGCCTTGCATGCCTGAGGCCCTGGGTTCGATTCCTCAGCACCACATAAGAAAAAAGAAAAAAGCCGGAAGTGGCGCTGTGGCTCAAGTGATAGAACATTAGCCCTGAGCTGAAGAGCTGAGGGACAGCGCTCAGGCCCAGAGTTCAGGCCCCACGACTAGACCCAAAAAAAAAAAATGTAATGAAAAACAAAGATGTAATTTCTATAGAATGATAAGGTCTTTGGGACCTGAAGAGGCAGGATGATATCAGATAGTAAGGATGGGAATTTTTTCTGTTCTTTCACTGGAGAGATTAGCATAAAATGAACAGTCAGGGCTGGGAATGTGGCTTAGTGGTAGAGTGCTTGCCTAGCATGCATGAAGCCCTGGGTTTGACTCTTTAGTACCACATGCAAAGAAAAACGCATCAGTGGCACTGTGGCTCAAGTGGTAGAGTGCTAGCCTTGAGCAAAAGAAGCTCAGGGACAGTGCCCAGACTCTGAGTTCAAGCCCCAGGACTGGCACACACACACACACACACACACACACACACACACACACACACACACACAGAACATTCAATAACTAAATACTTGCAAATATTCTTTAGGTTTCTAGCAAGTCTGCAACCTCTGACAAATTGTAATCTTTCAAGGTAAAATGGATAGAGAGCAACAGATAAACTCTTGATTTTTAACTTCACATAACTATCTTCCTCTGCTTTATTTTGAAATTTAGCTTTTATGCATATCTTGTACTAAGAATTATAAAGGAAGTGGTAAAGCCTCTTTTTTGTTCTTGATTTCATACTATCTAGCACTCATCTAGGACTCTCCTATGTGCCCTGTTACTATCTACGTATACACACTGCTCAAAGTCATTTATGAGTCAGGCATTGTAATCCTAGCTACTTAGGAGGCTGAGATTTGAGAATCATGATTCAAAGACCATGAGATTGTTATTTCCTATTAACAAGCAAAAGGCTGGAAGTAAAGCTGTAGCTCAAGTAGTAAGATCACTATCCTTAATCAAAGAGTGCAAGGCCGTGAGTCCAACCTTCATTACTTGCAGCAAAAGAAGAAAAAAATACATTTATGTATTAAACCACCTAATCACTTTACACAAATATCTTTTAGCATCAATGCAGGAAGAAGCACTTTTTCCTTTCTTTTCTTTTTTTCTTTTCTTTTTTTTCTTTTTTCTTTTTTTTTTTTTTTTTTGCTGATTCTGGGTCTTGAACTCAGCCTTGGTACTGTCCCTGAGCTTTTATCTTTTATGATCAAGGCTAGTGTTCTACCACTTGAGCCACAACTCTACTTCTGGCTTTTTTGGTAGTTAATTGGAGGTAAAAGTCGCATTACTATCGTTGAACCTGATCCTCAAATCTCAGCTAGGATTACAGAAGCTCTTTCCCCCCCCCCCCATGTGGGGAGCCTGAACTCTGAGCCTGGGCACTGTCCCTCAGCTCTTCAGCTCAAGGCTAGCACTCTACCACTTGAACCACAGCGCCACTTCCAGCTTTTTCTGCTTATGTGGTGCTAAGGAATCGAACCCAGGGCCTCATGCATGCACTGAGCCACCTTCCCAGCCCTGAAGGAGCTCTTAAATAGTCAAAAAGTTCCTACTCAGGAGGCTGAAATCTGAGAATCGTGGTCCAAAGCCAGCCTGGGCAGTAAAGTCCATGAGACTCTTATCTCCAATAAGACCACCAGAAAACCAGAAATGGTGCTGTAGCTCAAGTGGTAGAGTGCTAGCCTTGAGCTTGAAGAGCTCAAGGACAGTGCCCAGGCCCAGAGTTCAAGCCATATGACCAAAAAAAAAAAAAGCTCCTACTACTAGCTATGGGCTCTAGCTCAGTGGAAAAGAGTTATCATAGTACCAAAAAGAATAAGTAAGTGAAAAAGCTTGTGGTAGAGCACTAGTCTTGAGCAAAAGAACTCAGGGACAGTACCCAGGCCCTGAGTTCAAGCTCCACAACCACCACCACCACCACCACCACCACCGCCCCCCCCCCCCCCCCCGCAACAACAACAACAACAAAAAGCTTGTTAAACTCAAGACTTAGAGCAAATAAAACTGTTTACATGGTGCCTACTAAAAGCAGAGAAAAGACGTACTTGATTCTGGAGCTCCAGGATACCCCTATGGAAACTTGACTTTTTTAATCTTTCCTTAAAGATAAATTACTAGTATATATTAGTCGTACAAGAGGGGGTTTCATTATGACATTCCCACACATATATACAATGTACCCTGATTAAATTCACCCCCTCCATCTCTCCTTCGATCCCTTTCTTCCCTCCTACAACACTTTCAACAGGTTTCATTGTTCTGTGGACTTACTCATACTCTTATATTTAATTTTTTAATTTTTTTTATTTTTTTTGCCAGTCCTGGAGCTTGAATTCAGGACCTGGGCACTGCCTCTGAGCTTCTTTTGCTCAAGACTAATACTCTTCCACTTGAGCCACAGTGCCACTTGTGGATTTTTCTGTGTATGTGGTACTGAGGAATTGGACCCAGGGCTTCATATATGCTAGGTAAGCACTCTAACACTAAGCCACATTCCCAGACCAGTAAGCTCTTTTATTTTCTTTCTTTCCTTCTTTCCCATTTTTTTTTCTGTCAGTTGTGGGGCTTAAACTCAGGGCCTGGGTGCTGTCTCTGAGCTCTTTTTGCCCAAGGCTAGCACTCTACCACTTTGAGCCACAGCATACTTCTGATTTTCCAGTGGATAATTGGCAATAAGCATCTAACAGACTTCCCTGCCTGGGCTGGCCTTGAACTGTGATCCTAAGAACTCAGCCTCCTGAGTAGCTAGGATTTCAGGCATGAACCACAAACATCCAGCTTTCTTGATTTCATTTTTATCAGCAGCTTCAAAATCATTTTGATGAGTGTGGCAGGGTCAGGAATATTGGAATATAATGAGCCATTTCCTTCTCTAAAAGAACTCTGAGCTGGGTGCCAGTGGCTCACGCCTGTAATCCTAGCTACTCAGGAGGCTGAGATCTGAGGCTAGTGGTTCAAAGTCAGCCTGGGCAGGAAAGTCCATGAGACTCTTATCTCCAATAAACTACCAAAAAATCAGAAGTGGCGCTGTGACTTAAGTGGTAGAGCACTACCCTTGAGCTAAAGAGCTGAGGGACAACACCCAGGCCCACAGTTCAAGCCCCACAACTGACAAAAAAAAAAAAAAAAAGGAACTTTGACAAATTTTTCAATCTAGCCTACAATAGATCCATAATTGTTGAAGTATAATTTTCCCCCTCAGATTATCATGATGTATCACAACACTAGAAAAACACTCATGTCTCCCTAAGAATGAAACAAGCTTCCTTAGAGAAGGAGCAATGAGGGCTGGGAAGGTGGCTCAGTGGTAGAGCGTTTGCCTTGCATGCATGAGGCCCTAGGTTCGATTCCTCAGGACCACATAAGCAAAAAGCCGGAAGTGGCACTGTGGCTCAAGTGGTAGAGCGCTAACCTTGAGCTGAAGAGCTGAGGGACAGCACCCAGGCCCAGAGTTCAGACCCCACAACCGGACCCAAAAAAAAAAGAAAGAAAGAAAAAAGAAAAAAAGAGAAGGAGCAAGGACTACCTCTGCCTCTGAAGGAGTCTATCAGAGAAACAGCGACCAGATGTTTGCAGATCAAACTCAAACGTATATTCCTATATTCAACTTGAACTTTTCCTGGCAATTTACACAGTTAAAGATTAAGTCACATGCAAAGATTAAGTTCTTTTATGAGCTCAGTAGTTTAAAAACAGCAAAGAAAAAAATGATAGACTTGTTTTTGTTATTATTACT